GCCGAAGGTCACTTTGACCTCACAAAGCGCCCTTTTCACACCATTACTAGAATGAATGTGCTAATTAGAAGTGTTGCATGTTGGGAGTGGATGCAGACCAGAAACGCCGTGTATTAATGCAGAAACTCTCAAATGTTTCTCAGTGGTTCGTCCCGACAGGCTGACGGTGCTTTGAGATATTCTGAGGCGGTCGATATCTGTATTCTCCACACACCCACCCCTCAATGAATCATCTCAGGCACTCGCTCTCTCTCCTCACTTTATTGGCTTTCCTTTTTTGGGGGGCGGGTTCCATTTAAGCGCTCTCTCTCTCGCCTCGTTTTGCCCGATAAGTCGTATACGGGGGCGAGCCTCTCGCCAATGGTCGTGTGATACAAGGACGCCCGCATCAATTAGGCAGAACGGAGCGGCACATCAATATTTATTTCATCTGCATATAAATGAGATCGGGTGTTAGGGAGCCATTTGCTGATGAACCTCTCCAGAGCTCCACTCATGGGGGGTTAGGTGGGGGAGGAGAAAGGGAACCGAGGTATAATCCCTAAGAAGAGGAAATATGGAGGCTCGGCTCGGTCCGTAAACCTTACCAAAGAAGAGAGCAGTTCAGCGAGGTCAGAGGTCAACCCCTGGGAGTAATATCGTGGGGGGGGGGGGGGGGGGTTGACAGTGACCCTTAAAAAATGGGGGAGAAGAAGTCACATCCGCGGAGGGGTCCCAGCTGGAGACTCAATCGCATGTCATCCTGGGGGTTCCCACTCTGCCCTCCAAGCAAGGGGAAGGCCGGGGCGGGGGCCAGAGTGGGGGGGTGGGGGGTGAAGAGAGGGTTTGTGGGGCTGCTGCGGGGCGTCTCTCGCAAGACCGGATGGACAAAAAGAAAGGTCGTCGTTTCGGAGGGAGACGGGCGCGGAACCCAGTCGATGGAGCTGTCCGTGGGGAGTTTGAGTCGTCTGCAGCCTTTCGCTACTGGGACCAGCATGCAGCAGTGGATGGGACGTGACAGGGGACCTTCTCCTCTTGCCGCGCCAGAGAGCCGCAAAGAAGCAGAACTCGGGCGGACTAAAACGCGGATTCCGTACACAACCACTTCTTGTTTTCATTATTCATTATTCTGTTAAGATATTCATAAGTTTGCATTGGTGGTTACCTTAAATAGCTTGTTTTCTCTCGTACGCAGTTCACAACCACAATAAAAGTTTTATCGCCTCCATCAGCGCATATATATATATATATATATATATACACATATACACATAATACTACTATCATGTAAATAATACCATTATTTCTCTTTATATTTCTCGCGAGCTCTTTCAAATGAACGCCTTTACATTTGATTGGACCTCTAGAAAAGGGGCGGGCTCAGAGTATACGTGGAGGAAGAGACGAGAGGGACCCGGGCTTTGTGTGGCCGGGCGTAGAAAAGTCTTTCCTCCCCAGCTCTTGAAGTCACGGAGGCCTTTTTGTCAAATCCTCTCGTCCTCAAGAAGAAGATGAAGCACTTCACGGGGGGGCGCGGCCGCTAAATAGGCGCCACGTCTCTGCTTCTGGCGCTTCAGACTGAGCTCAACTTCCCGCACGGAGCCTCCAGCGAAGCCCAAAATGGCCTCGAGTTTGCGCGTTTGCGGTACTTTCACGGCGAGAGTCTTCCGTCAGCCCGTCGGCGTTCGCTCGCCCGGATCGTAATTAAACCGCCTCTCGCCAGCGGGGGAAATCAATAAGCTGCTACGCACCCCGGTCGTAATCGGTGAAATAGACCGGCACGTTTTTTTTTTTTTTCAAAAGTCGCTCTTCTCTGGCTGCGTTTTGAGGGCTTTGCAGTTAATCGCTGTGCTAAAGCGCTGTGGATTTCAAAAGCCGCGTTGTTGGTGTTTGCTTGGTCCGGTCCATCCTCCTAATCGCTCGGGTCCTTTACACTCTCACCTCCCTTAGAAAGCATCCAAGACAATAACCTCGTCTGAAGGAAGCTCTCAGAGAGCGGTTTGTTGGAGGAGGCTTGAAGGATGAACTTTGTACTTTGCAGCCTGTTGGAGAAGATGCTCGGAGCAGGAAGTGTTACGCCGGCTTCGAGTCATGCACTGCAGAACTCCTCTCTTCTTTTTTTGGTTCAGCAGCCCCGTGTAGCAGACCGCCATGGGGGCAGCCGGCGATTCGTCATTTGGTTAACTCGCGGGGTCACGTGACAAATGTCCGGTTGTGATCCAGAGTATCGGTGGTGAACAGGAAGTTTGTCGCCACGTTCAGACTAAAGCTGATGAGGATGCATGATGGGTCCAACCTGACGAGGCCGCCCTCTTGGAGTTTGATGATAACCCCAGAGGTCACACACACACACACGGCGGCTTTTACTCTTTGGTCCCCCCCCCCTCCAGAAAAAGCTTTTGAGAGTAAGTAAAGTAACTCTAGGTGACTAATATGAGATGTAAACGTGTGTGTGAGAGAGAGAGAGAGAGAGAGTCGGTGCAAAAGAACGAGGAACTCACTTTAAACCGAAGTGTCTGATGGATTACCTTCTGCCCCTGTGAATTCAGTGTGTGTGTGTGTGTGTGTGTGTGTGTGTGTGTGTGTGTGTGTGTGTGTGTGTGTGTGTGTGTGTGTGTGTGTGTGTGTGTGTGTGTGTATCAAGCCAACGTCAATGTACTGGCCTGCTGCCGATCCCCCCTCATTTAAAATGAAATCCCCAGCCAACGTTGCATTGACATTTCCCCTCTCAGCCTCACATTGTCACAGTTCATTAAAACATAATTAAAAACAGGAATCCTCCACAGCTCGCCGCTGTCACCCGCTGCGCTGGCCGAGGAAACGTTTACATAGAACAGAGCAGCGTCGAGCCATTTTCCCACAATGCATCTCTGCCGGCGCACGTAATCGTGGCGTAAGCTTTATTAAGCGGCGGCGCGGGCCTCGGCAGAAGCGAAGCGGTTCTGGCGCTGTGATTGGGTTATTTTTCCGGGTTACACGGCCCCCACCAGGCGGGGGGGGGGGGGGCGCACAAGAGCTGTGCTGTAACCGTGACGACGCTCAGGAAGGAGGATTGGCCATATGTGACATATGAATGAGCCTCCGGGTTCTCAGTCGGCCCCCGGGGGTCCAGCTCCAGGGAGACTCCACTCGTTTGGTTCTTCGTAGCGGTGCACCGACACCGACACCGATTTTGGACACTGACTCATGTAGCAGGGAGATTTTCTTCATTTGAGCATTTTCTTTATGCAGACAACGTTTTCCATATTTATATTTATCGACTGGCGATGACGTCACTTTGGTAGAAGTGAGGTTGTTGTCAAGGCAACCAAACTGTCGGCCAAGCAGTGCCATCCAAGACACATCTGCACCAGAGTCTCCACAGCTGGGACTGGTAGCGTGTAGCGTGTAGCGCGTAGCAATAGGTCTTGTTAAGACCAGAATGCTTTCACTGTCGGAGTCATTAGCTGGCACATGCGTTCATACATAATGTGTCTTGGCACAGTTTGGAAAGTATTGACTCCCGCAGCCACAAACGATGGATGAATGACGGGCAGAAATGGGCCAATCGATTCAATGACGTGTTAATGTCCTTCAAAAGCCACATTATATACTTTTTGCATTTGCATTTTTATTCCTATATGCTGCGTCAAAAGGGTTTATCGTCACGATTAAAGAACGATCGCAGTCCCACGCTGAGGCCTACGGCTTAATAATGTCAGATGTTTGGAAAGACTCTTTATCTCACTCGGAGACATCAGTAGACATCGCAATGACATCACATCATTTCCGGTTGTGACCAAAACCAACTGGACACACACGGAGCTGAATCTCAAATGAATCTCCGGGGCTCCCACCTTTTCAGTTCAGGGTCTTATTCCGTCTGCTATCCCCCCTAAACACGGAGAGGTGGTGTTCAACGCGTTCTCTCCATTTGATGCACTAATGGCTGGGGAGAAAGGCGCTTCCAGTAAAAGCTCTGGTAGGTGGCACGATGCAGCTCTTAAGTGGTAATGAGCGGATACATGAATGGAGAAAGGAGCAGTTATCAGTCGGTTAAAGTTGGCCTCTGAAAACGAAGTGAACGACCTAATTAACTAAAGAACTGGAACTGGAACTAAAGACACTCTTATCGCCTCTCTCGCATTTTACCAAAATTAAATTTTAGCTAATTTTCTAGCGTCTGACGGTTGAGAGAAGCCAACTTGCCAACGTGTGTGTGTGTGTGTGTGTGTGTGTGTGTGTGCGCACGCGCGCAGTGGAAACCTCCCACCGCTGTAGTTCTTGATAACTTAACATGCGCCGTAAACCACTTGAACACCAAAGTGAATACAGATGAGGACGACTTGGGGCGTTGATGAGGTTTTCTTGCAGCGCTGTCGTCCGCTGGTTGGTGACCTCTGACCTCGCTCGAAAGTGGAGAGTCTAATTATTAGCCGTGAACTCGGCGGCAACGGCGGTCGGTTTTCTTAAACTTTCGGCAACTTTCACCACAGAGTTGTTGGCATCATACTCAAGCATTAAGAACTAATCAAGGCCGTGCGTTAAAGGCGCTGTGCCTTCACCTCCACGCCCTCCGCCCCAGCTGCTCCGTGTCTCCCCCTCTCTCTCCCGGGGGAATCACATGACACCTGCTGAGCTTCAGATGCTGCACGCTCCTGCTGTACTCGGCAACAACGCGTCCCAGGCAACCATATGCTGAACGTACGTCTGAACCAGGAGGGAGAAGCTCTAGTGTCTAATAAACTGTTTGAATCACGTTATATATCACGACACTTGGTCTGGTGTCTCTCTGCTGCCACTTCTCCAAGGACACCTCTCATGAAGATGACTAATACGCCCCGCGGGAGGTCTTGTTTGAGGGTCGTGGGGAGGAGAGGGGGGGGTTACTTTTAATCCGAGGGAGGCGCGTGGGGAAAGCGGATGCAGTGCCTGGCGCTGCAGACGGGGGGCGTCGCAGGACCTGAGAGGGAAAGGGAGAAATATATAAATAAATAAGTCAGAAGAGGGATCTCGGTGAGATTGGTCCCCACCGCCGGAGCCGCGCTTCAACGGTCGCTCTCCCCCCTCCCTCCTCTCTCTCTCTCTCTCTCTCTCTCTCTCCCCCCTCGCCCTGGTGTCGCTCAGCCTCCCGCTTCATCCCTCCACACGGCGGAGTGCAGAGAGAGGTGAACCGGGTTTTTCCTCTCCTCTCTCCCTGCGCTGGCTGGCTGTGGCTACGATTTGGGGACAGACAGAGACACAGTTGGGGAACCGAGGGACAGGACGGTACTTGGAAGTGGGGGGGGGGGGGGGTGACAACAACGTGGAAAGATCCAGCGCCGGATTTCCTCCAGCGGAGATTATTTTTGCATTACAAAACCTGTGGAAAAAAAGGATCTACTCCGCCGCTGTCCGCAGAAGAGGTGCCATTAAGCGTGTTAATGTGTGTGTGTGTGTGTTTGTGTGTGTGTGTGTGGGTGTGTGTGCGCTCACCATCTCAGTGTGCAGATTCATTGGTTTGTCTTCTTCTCCCATGCTGATGTGAGATTGTCTGTCCGTGCTGCTCTCTGTAATTCTGGTTTGCACAATTAGAGTGCAGCGCTCCGTGAGTTAGTTCAGCTCTGATGGATAAACGCACAATGGTGTGTGTGTGTGTGTGTGTGTGCGTGCGTGTGTGTGCGTGTATTTCACACGACAGAAGAATCACAACATGCTGAATAAAAATGTCTCCCCAGCACGGAAAACTTCTAGACGAGGTTGTTTTTTGACGAGCGTGTCGTGTCTGTGAGGATGCACGTGTGCGTGTCACATGCGTGCTCTCCGGCACATCATGCTTTGATGTCACTGCCTCAGGATCACGGAGAGGGAAAAAAAGATGCGGGGGGGGGGGGGGGGGCAAATGCTATGTGGCACGGAGCCAAGGTGCCGCTTTAAGGAGGACGCTGAAGGTGAGACGGATGTCTCCTCAGCTGTGCTCCGTCTCTCTGCGTCTCCAGGACGAGTGTGTTGGTTAAACCGTGAGGAATCCCTTAAGTACCCCCGCCCCCCCCCCCCCACCGCACCCCCCTCCCTCATCTGTCCCGTCTCCGCTTGATATGTGATTGTATGAGTGCGATGTCCCCCCCGTCCCCTCTTGCCTTCCATCAGTCACACTTCCATTTCTTCTGTCCCCTTTTATTTATTCATCTCCCGTCCCGCTGATTGACAGACTGGTTTAAAGTGGAAGTCTTATCCCAGAACTGGGAGCGCTGAGAGAGAGAGGGAGGGGGGGGGGACTCAGGTGAGGAGAAAGGGAGTGAAAAGTAGCCCCCTGGGGAGGCCGCCGGTGATTTATTTGTAGACATTTCTCCACATTAACACCTCCACCAATGCGGGTGTTGGTGGAGTGTTCATCGGCGTTGGCTGTAGTTGTTGGGGGGGGGGGGGAGGCGGAGGTCTGATTGTGATTACTGACTCCTGTCCCTCGTGTTCTTCCAGGGGGCGTGATAGACAAGGACCTGCGCCGCTACCTCAACCTGCGCTTCCAGAAGGGCTCGGTGGACCACGAGCTGCAGCAGATCATCCGGGACAACCTCTACCTGCGCACCGTCCCCTGTGAGTCCCCTAGCTTCCTCTGCACCCTCCTCACTGCTTGAGAGGAACAGTAACAAGGGGGGGTGGGGGGGGGGCGCAATCGGAAATCTTTAGTTCTGCTTTCCCGTGGATAAATGTGTAATATACCGAAGCCACGTCTTCGTTGTGGTGGACGAGGAGGCTGCAGATTGGGCGCCAGGCTTCTTCCCTTTTGGCAGCATCTCGCGCGATCGTTCTGTGAGTTCTGTGCATTTGGAAACGTTGTGTAATAGTGACGCTCGTTTTCTCGTGGGGAGATGTAGGTTTCTATAACTTCTATAAGTTGCCTACGTGAAAACCCGTGGCGGTAACGTAGCCCGCCGGTATCGAACATTAGCACCTCTATGCTACGCTAGCTGCTCACCTTTCCACTCTGATGTGTTGCTTTTCGCTACTATCTTTAGCATTTCAACCTGAATCCACCACTGAGTCGGTCTTTCATCCCAGGAGAGCCTTAAAACATCTATTTTTGATGTCTGCTTCTCCGTGAAATAACCCTTTTGTATTTTGCCAATAATTGACCGCAGCTCCCTCCGTCTCCAATTAGCGGAATTAACCGCGTCACGCAGTCGAGCCGCTGAGTTGTGTAGACAATCAAAAAGACCACT